GTATTATGTACCAGGGCAACCAGAGTTTCGTCTGATTCTCAAAAGGTCAGTCTTTGTTATAAGGCTCGGGATTGGCATAGCAAAGTCTTTAGTTAAATGGATGGCTTTTTCATATCACAAGAATAGAGTGCGTTCGATTGTACATAAACATACACGACTGCTCTCAGCACATCAACCGTTTTAACGAGACGCCACACGGGCGGTGCTTGCTTCCAAGTGAACATGTTGGCGACTGGAGAAACTACACTATGAACACTATGATATTGATCATAAACCTGCCAATCGTGGTAGTCCCAGTCCGATCACCTGCCCCTACTAAAGTCTGCCTCCACCAATTGCAAGAAACACTATTTGGAACAAAATTTTGACGTCAGACCCCTTCAAGAAGGCTGAAGTATGGACCCAGTTTTCCGCTGAATTTGGAACAGCTTGATGGCTGGAATCAAGCGAGAGATTTGTCCACTCGATCGATGTCACCAATCTGATTGTCGTCAACGCGGTCAATTAGACACCTCCTCTAAACCACATTTCATATCGCACATTTCACATTTCACACTTCATATCGCTCGTAACCCTTAATAGCATTCTTGCGGGAAGATAAGTCCAGCTATCTGAAATGGAAATTGAATTTCTGTGCCTTAATCTTCTTCAAACTCGTCAAAAACATGACAGGTGCTGATCAACTCTATTCGAATAACACGCGGATCTGCTCATAACTTTTTGAAACTGAACGTCATATTCCGACCTGTGTATCTCGACTTCTCCTGCCTAGGCTTGGGCAACCTCGCAATATCCCAGCCCCCGTGCATCCTTCGGGTAGCACGGTAGCTAAGCACCAAAAGGGTATCATAGACGAACGACTTTATTATCCACGGGTAAGATGATAATCTGGCGCGCCTGATGTAACATTGTGGGGATATTTCCTTCCAAGAGCTTCTCTTCAGTAAAAATTTCTGGAGTAACTTTAAATGCTCTATCCAACCACAATCTGTGGAGTCCTTGGTAAAGGCTAGAAAATGGCACATATGTAAAACGAGGTGATTTTCTTCATCGAAGGCACTACCTCGAGTTACGGACCACATAAAACCTGCGTTTCCAGAATATAAGGATAAGCTACTCGCAAGTAGCCAAATCGGCAGAGATGTACCAGTTCAAGATGGACAAAAATCTAAAATCAGTCAAAACGTAACACGCTAAGCTGAAAATCCTTCGACAGCCCACGACCGGTTTTGCCCTTCTTAGGTCTCATCTGGTAGGCGCAGTCCCCGAGTTTCCGTCAGCCCTATGCCCTACATAATCGGACAGATTTCAACAAGTGCTCTCATTTGCACACGAATTTGGTTTTGACGGAAGACCCAACTGAATCCATCTGAATCTCTCGTTCATAAACGAACGTGCTGCACCAGTCATGTTTCAGTTGGTACGACATCTGAGTTATCGCAGTAGGTTGTTTTCTAAGCGTAGCGTGCTACTCAGCTGGATTCAGTCGGATCTCTTGTCAAAAGCAATCCGATTTAAAGCTTGCAACAAGGTGCTAGACCACTGCAATGCATCAGGCCTTCTTAGTGAACCCATGTCAATGTGCGCTTATTGTATACAAGGTCAACCACAGACCTCACAAGATCTGACCACTACCGGTTCCTCTGCGCGTTCTTATTACAATGATTGTTAAACAGATAACAGAATTCCAAAACTATTTGTTACAAACTGCACACGTTTTTAAGCCGCAATATCGTATACCTTGATTTGTCGGACATTATTGTGAGCTGATTCTGAGTATTGGGAATCTTTGCCTAGTTTGTTACTGAGAAAAGCAATGCGTCTCAAATGTGTCATACGCAGCGTTACCATTCTTATCTTTTCTGCTCGCAACCTACCTTATGGGTCTACCGGAATCTGCGTAGCCGTCGATTCATCAACTATCGGTTACGGTTGTTCCCATAAACCACTGACCCCTTGTGCTACGCAACATTCAAGAAGCCGGCTCATTCTCATCCATAGGATAGTCGAAATGTGCTTAAGTAAAAGTACTTAAGAGACAGACGACCATTTGAACTTCGTGTGCATCGTGAGATCATTCTCTATGACGTAAAGCCGAAAGTCTAAACGAACGGCAGCTTGCTGAGGACCGTATTGCATTACCACATCACAGAAGCGCGAGAGAACGCCCTGATGGACGTTGGTCATAATTAGTCGGCGCAGCACGGTAAACTACTGGCATAGTAATAGTGAGGTGACCTTTTTATGGACGCCGAGGTTCGATGAACCAACTGGCCGAAACACAAATCCGTAAGCGATTCCCAAGGGTAGGTGCTTTGTCGAACAACCGAGTGTGCAGAGGACAGAGCTTTGTAGAGTGTCAAAGAATGCTGGACGCAGCTAGCCCACATTTGACAATCACCATCGACAGAATGTCAGTGTTCAACAACGATCGCTCATTCCATTTGGAGGTCTTATTATAAAACAATAAAAGTTGACGAGGGGAAATAGAGCACTATGTTAGTAAAATTATCACGAGATCCCACTTACTCAGACCATGCGGATAGAAACTGAAAAGGATGCCGCTCATGGCGATTACTGATCATATCTTGCAGCCAGTCCAAACCTTCACGGACCCTACTCGGGGAGGTGCAGGGTACTGACAGTACCAAGGCTTTTCGTAAACGCGTTCATACCCCTCTCTCATGTCTTAAGTGACCATCTCTGCTTTTAACGCTTTGAAGTGAACATGGAAGACAGTACTCTTTGGTGAAAGTTGATTCGGCATGCGCAATACACGGACTAATCTCCACAGCTTCTGATGCAGGACAAAATCCTCGATTAACATCCCTGTTGCGCTACTGAACGCTCGCTTCTAATTGACCTGTTGCAGCTTTCTCGACACCAGTCTACATGAGTTATGGTTCTGGGACAATGGTTTCCGAAGACCTGAAGAAGTCGTATTTCAACTGCTGGAAATGTCCACATCTTACATCCATAAAACAGAACAGACCATACTGTCTCGTGGCCCCTTGGGTCTTGGCTCCATAACTTGGAGTTCAGTGACTGGGTGTAAAGCAGCATGGCCTTACACTTTGTGGGCGCGAAGCTCATGCCAAGGGACTTTAGTCAGTTCATCCAGAAACACCTGCGCCTTTTTTCCTCTTCGAAGACGAGAAGATCAGAATCTATTTAAACACCAGCATTTTGAAGGCTTCCCAGAGTTCTTCCCATTATCTCGTGCATCACAAAACTAAATAGGAATGGAGAGAGTGGGCACCCATGATGGACATTACTTCACGTACGGAAGCTTTTAGAGACTTCTCCATGTACTATCCTGGAAGCCTGAAAATACAAAACTCTCAAGTTAACAAACTTCCGGGCATTTCTTGATGGGCAAGTTAAGGAGAACAGACGGAGCCGAACGTGCCTTGGAAATCAAAGAATTACTGAAATTGTGAGTCGGTGGTATGCATGGCATTGTTCTGGAATCTAACAGAGTGTGAAGATTTGGTCAACACAATCCCTACCATGCCTGAATCCCGCTTGCTGCTCTCGAGTCAAAGCTTCACGATGAAGAACAAGTGAGCCAAGACTCTCCTTACGACTTGGGTCAGGCTGAACCCCTGGGATTGTGACACTCACTAAGTGCCCCTTTTTGAAAATGGGTCTTATTCCATATTACAGGACAGTCTCCTTTTTAAGGTGAGTAAATCACAGACACTGACTTGGGACTTCAACCCCACCCTTGAACATCATCAGGACCAGCAGCTCAGTGGCGCTTGAGAGACTATATGTGGTCATCTCCGAGGTTGGACACTGACTTGGGACTTCAACCCCACCCTTGAACATCATCAGGACCAGCAGCTCAGTGGCGCTTGAGAGACTATATGTGGTCATCAACCTCCGAGGTTGTGTGGGGCTCCAAATTTTACTACAATTTCATTATCTAAGTGCTCGGCCCAGCGGTCGAGGCTCCCTATTTAACTGGGGGTGGTCGAACCACTTTGATCCTACATAGTTTCGCTCACTAACGGTTTCTGGGACACCCATGTGGGAGCGTTACACGGATGGAAGGTCAGCCACGATCTGATTAACTTGCCTTATAATGCAAATGTCCGAGAGATTTACCCAATCACAAAGTTCAGTAGATTAAAGCAAACTGCCTCTGTGTATCTTCAAACAAATGACCCTGAAGACGAAGACCTCGAACTCATCTCGGATTTTCGGACCAAAGAGCCGGTCAGCCGAAGTTCAGTTGTCCAAATGAAGCACCCGTATCCTCAAACTGTCCTTGAATAAACGTATCTGAGCACCTCCTCAGCGTATATAATAACAACAATAATAACGATGGTCGACAGCAATGTCGGCAGTGTTTGCGCTTAGCTGTGCCCGTGTAAATTGGCCTAAGCCCCTTACAAGTTCGACTCAAAACAGGCAAGGCACAATAATAAATGTGAGCTAACTATTAGGGAGTGCTCCCCACTAGCTTCCATGAAATTCCCTACTGCACGCACGAATAATCACGTGAACTCAAAAGTTCCCCCTCCCCAATCAAACCCGTATTTACGCATGAATTACGTCAGCTTATGCCACCAAACCGCCCCACTTCCTCAAATCATCGGTGAACGAAACTGCGGCAGCTATAACTACTGTACGCAAATGCAGTGGTAAGTACAGCTAATAACGATGACGATGATGATGACACCAACGGACAACTTTGACATTTTCGAGACAGCCCGCGGTATCAGAAAAACTTACACACTGCAACTGAACCAGACCCTTCGCTAGGACGAAGAAAATGGTAAAACATTACTACTCCCGAAAAGAAGAAGTACGCGGTACCTAGAATCATCACTTAAATGTGTCAGGTGATCCGTCACAAGTACTAAGTTTGGATTTCCGTGGGGTGCTGCTGAAGACAGAAAAAATAAGGATAGAACTTTTACCCAACAAATGGTTTGAAGAAAAATCTACACGAGAAGGCAAAAGTATTTGTACTGTAGAAAAGGTTGGCAACGTTAACTGAGGGTGCTCCGCCGACCCTCGCCTTTTTTCCGTTTCCCCTTTCCCTTTAGTTCCCTTAACCGTCTCATTTCATCACGAAAATCTGCATGCTCGTCGCGAAACAGACCAAGGTATCGGAGTTTGACGAAGATATTGTGATATTCTTCCAAAGGTGGATAGTAATTGTGAAGAATCACTGGTGGTGGTTGAGACTGCATCAGACTGACAACTTTCTTTGACTTTTGATCGATCGGACGACCAACATCGACAAAGATTCGGCCAGCTAACAGGGTCATCCGCTTCGCATAACTGCTGCTCATTCCTGAAAACAAGGATCAAGAATGAAATTCAGTTTCAAAAAGCAATACACTGCAAAAGTAGTAATTTTTCTAAGAGCCATATGATAAAGCACCAGGACTGCCAAGGTAACACGTGACAAGTGATTGCAACAGGAATCGCAAAATGCCGCGTCCCAAGGTACGGCCATTCTTGAAGCCTTCCATCCGTGAAACCACGTTGTCGTCTGCCATATTGAACACTAAGCACCTGTCGGATCAGTCAACCTAACACGAGAGAAGCTGGCCGTACATAAACTGTACGAGTCAAAATGTTATACCCTAATTCTTGCAAATGAGTCGTGAATCCGTAGGCAGTCCCAAAACGACAACTGCCGCTGCAGCATGCCGCCTCTGGTAAAATAGTCCACATTTACCAACCTGCCGCGAGTTCAAAACAGACGTTTTGAATTCAGATTAGTTGTCACAAATAAACCTTTGTGAATATTCCCGCCAATTAAGTGGCATGCACACGCGTTTCAAAAGGATCGACATAACTGAAGATAAAATTGTCAGATATAGGCTGGGGGAGTCGTTCAGCTGTAGCATCCTTTTCGGTGCCTAGCTGCCATGCCACACGAAGGAGATATGAGGGCTGAGATATTGCGTGGTTGCCCAAGCCTAGACAGGGGAAGTCGAGAGACGGAGGTTGAGTTCAAACCACGGACCTTCCGGTCAGTAAATTCGCGCTCTAACCACTTGGTCGATCCCGCTATAGCCTGGGACGCTTTCATGTTTGTCATGTCTCCCGAGTTGGATCAGAATGAATAGAGATTTCTGTCCAGAATGAACTGGCCATCACAGAGACTGGATCTTACCGCAGTATGGCGGTTTGTGTACCCCATGACCCAAAAAGCTATGCTGGAGAAATGTACGCGAGAGTCACAGGTTGGAAAGTGGGTAGGACCTGACTTACAGGCTCCTAGTCCACCAGGCTGACGGTTAGCAAATGTGTGGTGATGTTCTCCCTAGAAATTTAGGGTATTCTGGCAGTCTTACATAACTGTCGCTGTGCATTGCGGTCATGATTTCGAGCTAGAGGTTTGGGTTGAGGAACCTAATCGTACTTCTGTCTACGCCTGAGTGTCCTAGAAGTATCCAAGCCCGCGTGCAACCATGAATTCCACACTTACGGCTAATCTCCGGCGACATCGGCCATCGCCTGGCGTCTTGAGTCAGGCCGCCGCACACGCTGCATACACCAGGGTGAGCAAGCAAAAATACGCTGCTGCTGAGGCCTTCTTCTTTTAGTTTCAAATATTCGTTTTCTGTCCTTCCTTATGTCGTTGCCGACCACATATTTCACTACACCAACACTTAAGTGCTGACATATCCGTCCGCCATTCATTGCTGTCGCAAACAATATCTGCAGTTAACTCGGCCACCACGACCATAGGCATTTCAAAGTCACACTTCAAACTCCGATAGTCAAGTCACCCAGTGGCGTTCGCATTCCGAAATTAGCCGGACAACAGATTGCTCTTGCATGTACGCTGGACTCGCCTCCTATTGATGTGCGCTGTTTCTCCGAGATGACTCAAGTCGCAGATACGGTTGTTAAAGTAACCTTCCCACTGGTTTCCTTTCGGTCTTGCTCAAGCAACTGTGGGGATCCAGAAGGCGATGTGACTGGTTCTGTAGGGGTTGCCATTGTCCGAAGCCACTGAGCAAAATGGCCTCCGTTGGAAAGATTGCTTGCTTATTGTCGCCTCTGTGTGGCTCGTTTTGCAAAGTTTGTGATAGTATCCTGTAAATGTGCCGAAAATCTCTACCTGTTCATTGTATCTGCTTACACTCCAAAATACTGTAGTACTGATACTTGAAAAGATAGTCTTTACGACACTTTGAATGTGTTGTTGTTCCCGTGGTTGTCCGAGATGCACCCTGCTGAGGCTGGGTGGTCGTCCAGGAACGGAATCGAGAGGCATGGACAACGGCGAATGCCTGCCGCCGTTGTGCGCTAACCACAGACCGTTTGGGTGCAGTATTAACTTCCGAATAAACCGGATCCACTTGACCACACAATGCCCAGTGCATGCGAGGGAACCTCCAACACGGATACACCACACCACCACTAGCTATAGGCGGCGTGGATCACTTACTGATTGTCGTTAGTTCTGAAACAGGTATGCGGATTCAGACCACGTACTTGTTCATTACTGCCGCTCCTTGTGTTTTACGGGGACGCCCAAGGCGCGTATACTTCGCCGAACTATTGAGAATAATATGATAATAATCAATCAGCTGAATCACCCTTTCGGTGCCTAGCTGCCATGCCAACCGAAGGAAGCACGAGGGTTGGGATACTGCCAGCTTGCCTAAACCTAGACAGGGTTCGAACCATAGACCTTCCAGTCAGTAAACTCGCGCTCTAACCACTTGAGCCATCTCACTCCACTATTCAGAAGCTATTGACCCTGACTACTTACTGGAAGCCCTTTTCGGATAAGACGTCTTTTGATGTTGACTCATAGCTCGTCTAATTGATTTGTCTCCATCTGAGCGAAAAAGATAGTTGTGCATACTTTCAAAAAAGGGTGCTCGCAGAGAGTGTGGCAACCACTTTATCTCTTTGAATCTGGCATACCCGGCAAACAGAAACGCTCGACTTCGAGCCATCGCATTGCTCTCATTCAGTTATTCTCTTTATCCTTGCTGAATAAAGCAGTAACTTCAGAGACCAATGCACTCTGGTTCAGTTTCTGAGCTTGAAAACTAAACTGCATTGAGATGAATAAGCTTGGTCCCGTTGCAGCCAGACGCCTTACGTCGTCTGTTTCACACCGTTTTACGAAAGCGCGTGTAGACGGGACCCGGGGACAGTAAACAGGATTCCGGTAAGGAAGGGGTTGCGTGGACCACATATTCACACTTTGTCAAGTGTTAGGGCAACGGCATGCGTGTTCCTTTACACAGAGAGTGCATTCGATTGTGTCGACCACTTGGTTCTTTTAAACATACTTGCGCAACAGAGTATGCATCAAACGTTCGTGATTACCATGCGCTGTTTATATTTAAGTTTGTGGGTGTGTGTGAAGGTACGATTTCCTTAGAAACTTCGCTACAAGCAGCAGTGTCTGGCAAGGATTTCCGTCTTTTTCATTCTTACTGCGCGAACCAAGTGGTGAACAGGCAAAAAGAAATGAAGAGTGTTACAAAACCTTTAGGCGCTGTTCATCTTCGAGTATGGCGTTAGCGTGCCCCACTCTGTGCTTGGATAGAGACAGTGAAAGTCTGTCTATCCACGTTGTCTGACTGGGTTTTGGAGGTGTATACACTTCAGATGTTTATGGTAGGCTGACCGTAGGTCCCAGCCCTGTCAACGTTTTCCCCACGATAGAACCTTGTTGTAAAAACTGGTATGTACGTGCGACAGTGAAGCACCAGTGTTCATCATTAGTGTTGCCGTCAACAATAATGACGACGACTATGATGAGATAACAAAGGTGCTGCTCTTGTTTACAAAAACCGAATAGCCGTCTTCTTGAATTCGTCCTCCTGAACGTTCTTGGATATCCATTGACTTTCACTCAAATGTAAACGAATGCTACAAAGCAATTCCAACAGACGCTAAACGGAGTTGCGAGGAAACATATTACTCGCATGCCTGATCAGTAGTATCCACCGATACACCAGTAGCAATCCCACCGGCATATTCAATACCACAAAGCTCGATATGGTTCACTGGTTGAAGCGCGAACACCACCTCAGCAGCTCAACTGCTCTGATCTAGGCTTCGGCAGCCTGGCGGTATCTCAGCCACCGCGCTTCGTTCGGGTAGCATGGCAGTGAGGCACCAAAATGGTGCTCATCATTATCATCATCATCATCGACAGCATGACATCAGTGTTCAACACCGATGCTTCACGGCTGAAATGGTGCTGCACCTGAACAATTTTATTTCTTCGTTTACTTTCCTATTCATTTTTGTTTTTTTTTTATTATCATTCAACGCCAGTATGTCACGGATCGCTACGATCTACCAGGCGTTTGCGACAGTTCAAGAAAACGTAACACACAAACATCGAACCTGAGTATGGAGTGCAAGTTTTTGTAGCATCAACACCACCACCGAAGACTGTGACGTCGGTCTTGACACCGATGCTTCACTGCACAAAGTCTGTCTAGTAATATTTCGAGCTTTAAAGTTAAAAAAATTAAAAGGATCAGGTATGGACTTTACGCTAGACTACCTCAAGAATTCTGGGATCCCCCCACCCTTAGACGCTCAGACAGTGCTTTGGACACAACAATGAATCAGTGACGTCGGAAGTTTTGTTACACTGGGGGTCCAACTGACATCCCTTTGGTTGCTACATTCACCGCAATTATCCTTCTTGAAAACGGACAGTATTATCGAACCAACCCAGTCATTTCGGATGGTCCCTTTCTCTGAAGTAGATGAGAAAAGCCACATGAGCAGTGGTTGAGGAGTTAACCACTGTCCTTTAACGGCGCAGGCGATAAGTCGTTGATCAGCAGCACGATGGATTTTGAGTAGGAATATACACTCAGACACTTCTGGTGCCGAAGAAAGCACCATATTTACAGTCCACATCTCTGTCAAACGTCGACAGCTCGGATTGGAAGAAGGTCGTCAGCTGCATTGTTGTTCGGAGTATTCTGTCCAAAGGCCCGAAATTCTTCGCCAGACAGCAGAGAGCCATTGTGGTCCATGTTGGTCTCAGTGACAAGGAGCTCCCGAGGACATGTCGACCGAGGTGAGTGAAACAACCTGCGGACTTTGCTAGCATTTCTCCCTTCTTCCATTTATCTGACATTAGTGATCCCCGATGCTTCCCGGTCTGCATGAGCACTCAGATTCATCCGGCGTCGGAGAATGTGTCGAGTGGGGTTGCAGTTAGGGCCAGAAGAGTACCCGTCGACGAGCCTCTTGCAGAGACAACGCTTGGAACAAGCCGGCTGGTTTGTATCGAAGGTAGAGGTTCTGGAAAGCCCCATCCAGTAAAAATACCTGATATCAAATCAGTGAGTAGATCTTGCAGAAGTAACCTCCGAAACAGGTTTAACATATGTCTCCACGGGAAAAAAATGAAACACTCCGAACAATCCAGGGGTTATTATTACGCACTCCATATTCAAATGATTCCCACTATAACGGGCATTAATGACGCAAACGAATAGTCTATGATATGCGCAGATGTGTGCTGACCACGGATATATGGTTCTTACAACGCAGAAGGCGCTCTCGGTTGTCAATATGCCCCGTTTCCGACCCAGGACCACCATCCAAGCGGGTCTCAGCAGCGCTGAGGCTGCTTGTGTGGGCGTTCATGCTACCAGAGACGACAGAAGGCCATGTGTTGAGTGAAAGCATTCGCTAAAGACATCTTGCCTCTCATAGACGCCGCTACAACCAATACGCCCAACTCGCACCTGATTGGTTGAAATTCCGGGGCACTGGTGTCTCAGCAACAGGCATCCTGTGATTGATCCTCAATGTGAAACTACTAATCAATCTCCCAGTATGTACCGGATGCTGAGTACCAACGTCCAAGGTTGCCGAAGTTCTGGAATGCTGTCGTTATATACACATGGCTTACGGTGCGCTGAATACGTTGTACTTGCCCTGGGTATTTCAAACACCGTGTACCTTTATGGTGATCCTTCTGACCATTGTACATTAGTGCTTTCTTTGTGACTTATCATCACTCAAATCGTACCCCTTTCTATCTCTCACTAAATCTCAGCTTATTCCCCTTCTCTTCATAACGAATAACTTTTGTTTAAATGAAGGCAAAGAAATATGGATGAATACACACAATACAAATTCCGTACTTCGTGAAAGGCGTGCTCCCTTCTTGATGTGTCGAGTCACGCTGTCAGTGAATTAACGAGCAGTGATCTACCTTTCAGACTACGATGGGATAGAAAGTATCTAGGAATCTATTAAGGAAGATTCCAGGAAGGAGATCGATTTGGATTTATTGAAGTGGTAATAACTAGCTGTACCAACAAACTGCCAGTTGTATAATCTCGCCTATTTTTACTCACTTGATTTGGCCACTTTGAACTGGTATTTGCTAGCGTTATCCACTACATAATTGGTGAGCCT